CAGAAAGCTGCTCAGGGGGAGTTGGAAGGGTGGGAAAGAAAAATTACAAAGGGACACTAGGAAACTGGGGTACAATAGTTATGCAAAACTCGCCAAAGTGTGCACTTTTAATGTGTGCAGTTACTGTCAATTACACCTCAAATAAAGCGTTTTTAATTTCACCATTTTCTCTATTTTCAATTTCAATTGTATTCTATTTTGTAATATATGCATCTGTAATATTAGGACAGGAACTATGTCTATAATTTATCAATAACTTTACATATACAGAGAGTGCCCCCCCAAAATGTATACATATTTTAAGAAAGGAAAAAACTGTATTAAAATTGTAATGCTCAATATATACCGATAACAAAAGATGAATTCAAGTCATGTGCATACGTTTTTTTGGCACCCCTGGTATTTGAAGATGCATGTTCAAAAACTTTTTCGTTGTAGCCAGTATAAACGGAGTATATACGTGGCAAAGCCCACATTTAACCGCTGCGCTCTACTGCCCCCTGCTGTCCATAAATTTTGTAGCCACCCTTAATCTCCTCCAGACTAGAACTCAACGATTTTAAACCATGAGGAAAGATGAATCCACAGCAAAGGGCTTTTACCAAAGATCTTCCAAGAGCCAAATTCTTTTTTTTTTAGATTTTATTGGGGAATCGGAGAAGGGGAACAGACAAGTTGCTATCCTTTTGTTCTTCAGTCTAGTTGTGGAGGATGTTGCTTCACTGACCCATGTTGGTATTATCATTGCACTCTTCCTGGGTGAGGCAGATCACTCATCAGTCACTGGACAGCCGCTCACTGCAGCTGCCAGCCACATACGGTAGCCCGTGGCAACCCACTGCAGCAGGGGCTGCAGCCTACGCCGTCACAGGCGACTCACGGCAGCCCAGCTCCAGATCAAGCTGTTGTTCACCATCTTAGCTATAGAGGCCAGTGTCACTGGCCCTCACGTGGGATCCAAACTGGGGTCCTACTGCTCAGAGATGGCGTCCCATGCCAGCTCTTAACCAACGCACCACTCGGCCGGCCCCCAAGAGCCAAATTCTTGTAAAACACACACACACACACACACACGCATGCACACGTACACGGTCACACGTGTACACACGCACTGCCATTGGAAAATACAGCTGGGACAGCTGTTGGGAGCCATGCAGGCTGGCTTTACTAAAACATAACTTGTTTTGCTTCTTGCTCCTTTTTGCACCTGGAGGATGCTTACTTAACCTTAAGGTATGTGGTGAGAAGGCCAGTTCCTTAGAAGACACAATAAGATAGAGGGCTGTCTGGGTTTTTAGAAGATAGTTTCCTGGGAAACTGACCCTCTAAATTTTCCACTGACCTTCAGATTTCTAGTAGGTAGCTAATGATGTACTTTTAATGAGGTAATACATATTTATCCCTTCTGTGTTGCATGTACTCTGGAGGTATATAATGGGGAGGAAAAATAAACTCGAGGCTGGTTGCCAAGAATGCTCCAGTCCTCCCGGACCCTCTTTGTCTCTTTGTCTCTTTGTTTCCTTAAACCTCGCCCCCCACTTCAGGTACTGTTCACTGGAACGCCGAGGCAGGACCCCGACAGACATCACAGCTTCTACTGCACAAATAGATATCACTCAGCAGCACAGTTCCTCAGCAAGCCTGAAGCTGACACCGAAAGGTTTGTTTGGGCAATAAGGGTTTTTATTTATTTTTTTTACAATGTTCTTATATTTGATTAAGAAAATTAAGCAAAACTATTGCATAGGAGACCCATTTGACCATAAGAGCACACGTCCGTGGGCCTGCCTCTCTGGTTTTAACCTTTTCTTGACATGTCCCCATTTTTAACAACCGGCTCTCCAAGTGTGGTTGTGACACAAGTTCATTGATATTTTTGTTTACAACAAAGAAGAGGGAAGTGAAACACCGAAGACATGTATCGGAATGTCACCCATCCTTCAGTGACATTCGGAGCAAATCAGATAATAGAGGTTTCAAATGCTGGAAGAATACATCCTAGATTTTTTTTCTGCTGTTCACAGACACAGCCCACTTTGAAGTTTAAGCTGCATTATTAACATTTTCTTGGTCCCTTAAAGTCTAGGCATTCGACAAAAATAACAAACCCAGCCCTGATCTGTAGCGCCTGCTGATTTTCATGGTGTAAATATTCCCACCATGTCTGGTGTCGGCCACTAATGTGATGTCACCGGGCATGGAGCTGGGACGTAATGTGCAACAGCGACCATTATATTTGCGTTTCCACCACACAGATACCAAAGATGCACCTGATCTTGAGAGCAGAGAGAACAGAAAATAATCAGGGAGGAATGAGTTTTGAGTATTTACTACTTTCGTTTTAAGTGTAATATATTTAATCGTAAGTTTATAAAATTTAATTTTTGACGATGGCTGTTATGAACTGACAGCTCACAATATTCCAGAAAATGTAACACTCCGCTCTCGTGAACTGACTCTAGCACACCAGTGAAATATACACAGAGGTGTGCCCCAGGAACCAGCACCCAGATCAAGAAACACACCATGCCCGGTCCCCAGAAGCCTCTCTCGTGCCTCCTCTAGGTCATTAGCCTCTTTCTTGCCTCTGCCCCACTCCGTGGGTACCCAAAACCCTGACTTCCAACAGCGTGGACCAGTGTGCCTGCTTTTGTGGTTCATACAAAAGAAATCATAAACCCGCATTTGAAGTGTCACCACTAGAGGCCTCTCATGAGGCAAAGACAGAAAGCTCCTCCCAAACCCTGTACTGGGCACTGACTCACCTTCCTCCTCCGTAAGGAGGCGGTTGGTTGCTCACGCCCCAGGGTGGGAGGAGATAGAGAAATGCCTGAGAGCTGAATCTGAGCCGGTGAGTCCCCAGGAGATATCTGGGGCCACAAGCTTCCCAGGGGAGGCATGGGGGCCCAGTTTGGGCAGAGGAATCCCAGCTGGGGCTTTGACCTCAAACCCTAGTGTGGTCTGCCAGTGTGCTCGCTAGGATCAGTGAGTGCAGTGAGGGCTGCTTCTGCCCAGGTAATAAATTATAAATTATTATTATCCCAGAGGAAGCTGAAGGGGGCTGCGTCTGAAGAGAGGGGGGGAAATGCAGCCCCTGAAACTTGGGGAAAGGAGGTGAGGGTGCATGTGGCTATGGACGCTTCCAGCTAGAGGTGGAAGGTGCTGGGATTCGAGGTTCACCATGCACAATGGGGTCACTTCGGTCAGAAATACAGGAGGAGCTGCAGATGGCGTCATGAACTTGGAAGTGTCTGTCTGGAAGGGGGCTGGAGAACAGAGACGGAGCTGACGCGTGCGCGGAGGCCACGTGAGTGATGGGTGGGTGGACTGGGCTACAGACCCTGGAATAGGACAGAGAAGGTGGTTGGTAGCATCTTTCCCGAATAAGATTCTGTTGGGACTGGGAGGAAGGAAACTGAGGCCACCGATTGTAGGGGGACACTATCGTAGGGCTACCAACTATCCAGAGAGCCAGCTCCCCCACCCCACCCCAGCTGAGGAACGCGTTGGCTACTAAGGGCTCAAAGCTACCCCCTTTTGCAAAACCTCCCCCTCAGCCCGTGGAAGCTTCTTCCAGAGAGGTCACCCCCAGGCCCCTGGGAGAGGCCATGGGCAGTGGCTGACAGACAAGCAAGCACGAAGGCCTGGCCCCTGCCCGTGGGCTCAGGCTGAGACCCCATCTTCCTCCCTTCCTCTCCTTCTGCGCTATCCTCCTTCCCTCCACTCCCCCTTCCTATAGAGAGCATCACCCCAATAAATCACTCTCACACATCCCCGCCAGGGCTCTGCTTCTAGGCAACCTAGCTTAGGACAATGATGTAGTTCAGGGGGTCAGTCGGGACATCCGGGCTGGACAGGGACCAGGGAGGGGCTGAAGGGCTGGGGAGAGCCTGAGGGACGGAGGTATCACCTAGGGCAGGGCCCAGGGAGGGTGAAGTTGCTGCAGCTGGAGGCGCGGGGTGGGGGGGGGGGGGGGTGAGAACGGGCCCCCTGCATCTTCTGGGATCCCAACTGATGGGAAGCTGTGGTCAGAGAAGGAGAGGTTGGAGGTAAAGCGATGCCGAGTGTGACGGGGTCCAGGGCCTGGCCACGCAGCGGGTGGTGTGGAGAGTTAGGCCACAGCAGAGGAGCAGCAAGAGGCTGGACTGTCGGTGGGGTGGCCGCTGAGTGTCAACTGAAGACGCCAGTGACGATGCAGGATTTGGGGCTGAAGGTGAAGGTTACGGACGAGTCAGCAAAGTCTTCAGTGACTGTGGGGTGTGACCAGGAGGGCCAAGGTTGACAAAGGTGGGTGGGGAGGAGAAGGTGGCTGCAGAGTCAGGCTTCGTGGTCCTCAAACCACCAGGGAGTTTTACACAAGGGTGAAGGAGACATGAGCGAGGCAAACTGGAAAGCTGACTGGACCCCTGCAGCGCCCCCCCCCTTGCCCCAGCCAAACCGGTGAGGTCAGCCGGCAGCAAGGACTGTCGCTGCCATCGCCAGGCGACTATTGGCTGTGCTGTCCAATATCTAATGCACAGGGATGTGTAAGTTCACCAGGCTGGCATAACAATAAATACTCACTGAACGAATAACTGGGACCGTCCGTCAGTCCATCTAGACGTCGTCGTCTCAGCAGCGGCCACGCGCGCAGTAACAGAGCAACACGTGGACCTGACTTCCAGTTCGGAGCCTCTGCTTTTTCGGCGCGTAAAGCTGAGAAGGCGGAGTGAGCTCATGACGGGTGTGCAGCGCTTGGGACCGTACCTGGCAGGTGGCCGTCTCCGTAAGCAGCCTCGGTTGGCCAAGTTCCTCTCCCAGGCAAGCCCAGCGCTCTCCTCGCGGGGTACCTGGGGGAAGTGGGGGAGCGTGATGCGAAGGGCGGGAGGAGGGAGGGGCGTCCCAGCCTCTGCGCACCCAACTAGCCCAGCCCCGGGCGGAGTCTCCTCCCGGGGCGGACGGGGCCGTCCTGTCCCCTAGAGGTACCAAGGGACCGGCCAGCCGCGCGTCTGTCCTCGGCTATGGCGAGCACGGCCCGGGGATCCTGCCCGTGGTCACCGCTCCGGCGCTGGCTCCCGCTGGCGGCGCTGCTGGGGACGCTCGCGCCGCAGGTGAGATAAGGGGACGGACGCGCAGCCTTCACGGCAAGGTCGGAGGGGCGCAGGGGGCGCCTGGCCCTCCCTCAGGCAGAGGTGGCCCTCCCCCAGTCAGCCCCCCGCGAGTGAAAACTTCCCAGCGTTGGGGAGTTGCCGGTCGCCCCCACAAACACCTCGCCTAAGAGACGTGCCAACGTGGAAAGGCGCAGGTGACCCAACACCCCGCCTCTCCTGCAGCTGGGGGTGCGGGTGGCGAGAACAGCTTGGGGCGGGGGACTGGCTTTACTGCAGGGTCCCCCCCCCTACAACTTCTGGGATCCCAGCTGCCTTGGAAAATATGGTCAACTTCAGGGTCCTCTGAGGAATGCGCCCATCCGCCCAGTTTGTTGGACAGACAAATCCCTGCAGCCACCCCTCCCCCCTTACCCATGACCCAGGTTCAGAACCACTGGGATAAGTAAGCGGAGATGTGGGCTCCCGGGCCTGCCCGCAGGGAGCAGGAGGGCCCATACTTACAGAAATGCAGCCAGCCAGGGACCCTGCTCAGGACACTTCCCTGCTGAGGCTGTCCAGTCTGGGGCCCCGGAGCTGCTAACGAGATCACAGGAGAGTTAGGCACCGCCTGGGCGGGCTTCCAACTCTGGGCCCACCCCATGGCTGCCAAGGAGGAATATGAGCCCAGTGTGGTGACACCTGGTGTTTCCAGAAGAAGGAGGAAAACGAGAAATGAGAAAAATTAGAAATCCAGATTTTTTAAAGTGAAACCTTTCCAATGTTTTCATTGGCCATTAATTAAAAACAAAATTTTAAACGTGGTTGTGGTCAAACAAAACTCAGCTGTGTGCCACCCGTCTGCAGCTCCCCTCCTGATGTGCTGCAGGTCACAAAAGAGGCAAGGGGACCAGGGGGGTGGGAGGCCGTCCCAGATTCTCCACCCAGGTCGGAGGCTGAGCCCCACACCTGAGGGGCCTGCAGCAGCACCGGCCTTTGCAGGGGTACAGCTGGGCTACCCGGATGTGTGAGGGTTCCTAACAGGAGCTCAGCCTCACCCTGTTTGCTCAGGGAGGGGCTAGCGCAGCAAGTTAGCCCCGCAGGGGCCAGATGGAGGGCGGCACCAGCCCCCCTCCCTGGGCCACCCCAGCCTGGGTTTTGGGGCCCCCCGAAAGCAGCTTGGCTGGGGTGGGGGTGGGGCAGAAGGGGTTTTCCTAAGAGGCAGGTAGTGTGGCAAAGAAACAAGAGGCCAGTACTGGAATGTCAGAGGTGGTGGTTCAGTTCGCCATGATTTGTTACCTGTGGCTGTTGGCTGATCACCTTATCGCCCTGAGCCTGTTTCCATCACCTGCACAAAAATGAGAATAACAGCATGGCTCTCCCAGGGAGGCTGTAAGTAGCAGTGACCTTTTTCTGTAAAGGCTTGCGGGCTCCTTTGGGAGACCAGAAGGACTTGGGAGGACTTCGGACACAGTGAGAGCTGGGGGGCCTTGGCTCCCGCTGACACCCCTCTCTAGGGTCACGGAGACCAACGTGGGGAGCTCACATCTTCTGCAGTCATCTTTCTTTCTTTCCCTGTCCCTGGAGGGACAGGCAGTCACAGCCAGCCCTGCCTGGGGCAGGGACAAGGGGGGCGTCCCAGGCCTCTGAGCGGAGGTGGCTGTTTCCCACTGCAGGTCCAGACCCTTAGGCCGGACAGCCTTCTGTTCGTGTCCACCCTGGATGGAAGCCTCCACGCACTGAGCAGGCAGACAGGAGACTTGAAGTGGACACTGAAGGACGGTGAGTGAGGGGCAGTCACTCCTCCCTCCTGGGACCCTGAGTTGGAGCGGTGTCCCTGTGACATAGAGGATAAGAGCGTGGGGCGTAGAATCCTCCATGCCAGTGTCTGCAGGCAACTTCACCACTTAGCAGCTGTGTGGCCTCGGGAAAGTCACTCCACTTCTCTGAGCCTCAGTGTCCTCACCTGTAAAATGAAGCCAAGGGGAACGGCCCTGGCTCACAGAGGTCTCAGGAGGGTGACACTCCACACGTGTCCCACGCACACGGAGCACCCAGTGAATGGGAGCTGTGCTTGTCAGTGGGGAGTGGGGTGAGGTGACTCAGGCTCCGTGTCCTTGTCCCTGCAGATCCCATCATCCAAGGGCCAAAGTTTGTCACCGAGTAAGTGAACCTGCGGGGGGCAGCTGGGAGATGGGGGAGGGAGTTTGTGGGTGGGGGCGGGGGTGCATGTTTGAAGTAAGGGAGGAGGATGGGGCCTGGAGGTCTGTGGTGTCCCTTGCAAGGGGGGGCTCCCACTAGCTGGGAAGTTGGAGGGAAAGGGGGCCTTCATGAAAGCAGGGGCCATGCACCCACCCTCCCCCGCTCTTCTCTGCTCCACAGAACGGCCTTTCTCTCAGACCCAGCAGATGGCAGCCTGTACATTTTGGGGACCCAGAAACCACAGGGATTGATGGTGTGTTTCCTGTAGTGCTTGGGGAGGGGCAGGGGCTGGGGCTTCTGTTGGGCAGAGCGTGAGGGGGCGGAGGGGGCAGTGTGGTCAGAGTGTGAGCGTCATGCAGAGGGCGTGTCACGGCTCTGAGGGCATCACGGGAAGGGTGCCTGGAGAGCCCTGCCGAAAGGGGATAAGCGGGTGGCCCTGGCTGTGTCTGCAGGGCGGGCTGGCTGTCAGGCCTCAGAGGAGTCGAGGGCCTTTTCCAGGACTCTGAGGGCTTTCAGGGGAAAGCTTGGTATCTGTTAGCTTTTGCTCAATAACAAATCGCCCCAAATGCAATGGCTTCAAACTCAAACAATGTATTTAACTCACAACTTTGTGGTGACAGTTGTGGTGACAGAGGAAGGGCAGGGAGCAATTGCCCCAACCTGGAGCTCAGGGAGCTGTGAGAGGGCCGCCTGCAGGGAGCTGGGGCCTGTGGGGGAGGGACACAGCCAGCCCATGATGACCCCGTGGAGAGCACGTGGGGAACACATGGCCCGATCTCACCTCCCCCCCATCCCCAACCTGACTGGAAGCCAGAGCTCAGGGCGCCCACTGACGTCATCCAAACAACTCCATCTTGCCAGGGAGAGGGCAGAGTGGAGAAGGGCGGAGACGGGGTCTCCAGTCACATCAGGGAGGGTCACCAGCAGGTCTGTCGTGTGGCGTGTGTGGCTGTCACATCAGTCACATCACACCCCTGCATCTGGGATAAAGTCCAGACGTTCTCTCTAGATAGATGGATACATGGTAGATAGATACGTAGATAGATGATAGATAGATAGATAGATAGATAGATAGATAGATGATAGATAGAGATAGAATATTAAGGATATTACACATGTACGCATTAACATTTTTCTCAACTATGTGAGAGTGAGCTGCAGACAGTACACCCTGTACCCCGAAAGCATCCTTGTGGATTTCTAAGAACGAGGACTTTCTCCTACACAGACTGAGTATAAATGATCAAAACCAGGAAATTTAACATTGGTGCAATAGCACTATCAATTCCACAGCCCGTATTAATTTTGTCAAGTGTCCCACTGGTGCCCTTGAGTGTTTTCCGGGTCCAGACCCCGAGCCACGATCGCCGTTGCCCTTCGCCGGCGTGTCCCCAGCTTCTCGAAGGCCCAGCCTGGCTACTGAGACTCTCTGGAGAATGGAAACAATGTGGCTACTTAGTGAAGAGTCCAGGCGGTTCTCTCACCTCAGGCGGTTCTCTCACCTCTTGCCCCTTCCGGGAACACTTTCCTCTCCTCAGAAACTGCCGTTCACCATCCCTGAGCTGGTTCACGCCTCCCCATGCCGCAGCTCAGATGGCGTCTTCTACACTGGTAAGCGCCTCTCCAGCCCGTGGTGCTTGGGGACTGGGTGCTGATGGGCTAAGTGGGCGCAGGACAGACAGACTGCAAACCCTCTCCCAGGCCATCTTGAAGGCCGGCACACATTCCACCTCCACAGGCCGGAAGCAGGATACCTGGTTTGTGGTGGACCCCGAGTCAGGGGAGACACAGATGGCACTGACCACGGAGAGTCCCTCCGCCCCCCGCCTCTACATTGGCCGAACACGTGAGTCGGGCCCCAGCCGCTCCCCAAGCTCTGGGAAGCCGCCCCATTTTGCCCTGCCTAGGCCTGGCGATTGCTATCCAAGTTGAATCAGGCCAGTCAGTCAGTCAGTCAGTCAACAAACATTTCACTGAGCACTAAACAGAGAGCTGGGGATAGAGCATAACGAAGACAGACCTGGTTCTGCCCTTGTGATGCTCGCAGACCCCACCCCCAGGCTGGGTACTCAGGGAGCCCCCACCCTCATAAGATGACGTCCCCTGGGGGTGGTGGGGGGGAGCATCACGTGGTGTGCCTGGTAAGCTTGCTTCTGGGCATCTGCAGAATACACGGTCACCATGCATGACCCCCGGACCCCCGCCCTGCGCTGGAACACCTCCTACCGTCGCTACTCAGCGCCCCCCATGGATGGCTCACCTGGGAAATGTGAGTGCCACCTTTCTCTGGCCCCACCTTGGAGCAACGTCCGCAACTCAGAGAACCCTGAGTGGCATCCATGACCAAGCCGCACCACGCTCTGACCCGGCTGACCTCCTCAGGGACCCCGCATACTGAATGACACAGGCTGACGGACAACCCTAAACGACCCCTCAACACCCAGCCTGACCCTCCTATACCCGGAGCAGCCCAGCCAGGTTGCCCTGGGCGACTCCCTAGGCAACCCCCACACACCCTGAACAGTCCCCATGTGTTCTAACTGACCCTCAATGTTGAATGACTCCTGACTAATGACCCCAGGTGACCTCCCCCAGGTAACCCTCACCACCCCCTTGATATTGTGACTGCCTGAGAGGCCTCACAGGTGTCCCCCCTAAATAACCCCTCGTACCCTGACTCTATCATTCCACATGAGAACCCACACAGCTAACCCTGACACATCATGAGTGACAGCCCCTAACCCCTGACTGGCCCCTTCCTCATTCTAAATGACACCCAAGTGACCTACAGGGCTCCAGCCACCCTGGGTGAACCGGCCTGGGTGGTCATCAGTCAGAGCATGAGTGACCACTCCACATCCTAAGTGACCTCTCTCAAGTGACCTGGCCTGAGTCACACACCTGAGTCACCTTTGGACGACCCTGACGCACCCCTGCATCCTACACGGCCCCCAGTTGACCCTGACTGACCCCCTGGCTGATCAGAGTGACCCAATGAACTCAGACTGATTCTCCCATGTCCTGCGAACCCTCCAGGTGATCTCACCTGACCTCCACATGCCTGAGTGGCCCTCCTGATGGCCCACCCTCAGAGCAGCTCCCCCACACCAAGATGCTCGGAGGTGCCTGGCTGCCTCTCCACAGCCATTTTTTTCTTGGCAGACACGAGCCACCTGGCGTCCTGTGGGACGGGCCTGCTGCTCACTGTGGACCCGGGAAACGGGGCGGTGCTGTGGACGCAGGACCTGGGCGTGCCTGTGATGGGCATTTACGCCTGGCACCAGGACAGCCTGCGCCAGCTCCCCCACCTCACGCTGGCTTGGGACACCCTGCACTTCCTCGCCCTCCGCTGGGGCCACATCCGACTGCCTGCCTCCGGCCCCCGCGGCACAGCCACCCACTTCTCCATCTTGGACATCCAACTGCTGTAGGTGCCCGTGCCTGGGGACTGGGGAGGACCCTCTGGAAATGTTGTAGCCCAAGTCCAATGGGCAGGCGTGATGTGTGACCCTGACACCAGTACAGCTGGACCAGAGGTCAAAATCGTACAAATGGCGGGGGGGGGGG